GGATCGTCGGTTCGAATCCTACTGAAAGAAGTCTGATGAGGAAATGTGGTGATTTCCGAAATAGCTATCACTTCTACCATTTTTTCAAATTATTGTTGCTTTTCCACAATAAATTTTCATTTAAAAAAATGGCCTCGAGCTCATTATAAAATTGTTGAATATAAAATATACCACTATTAATTTTTTTTAACTCCGTGCACTGCGCTAGACTACATACATACATTTCGTCGTTTAAAGTACAAAACCGCGTATAGTCATTCTGCAAAATCGCGTAACTGACATTGGCTGCCAAAAATTGGATTAGCTCACACAAGCTCTTGGCTCAATCCTTATCCATTCGTCCTGAAATTTACTAGCCAGAAATGCGATTGCTTTATAAAAAAAGAGAAGCATTTTGAAATATGAGTGTTTTTACGCTCTAGAAAATAATTTATACAAATTCACATACGCGGTTGTGCATTTTGCTGATACGCGGTTTTGCATTTTGTTGATACGCGGTTTTGCACTTTAAACGACGATATATGTACATATGTACGTACCTAAACCTGCAGCAATAGTGAAGAACAAGACTTACAGCTTATGAGCTTTCTAAAAGGTAAATTACCTCAAACTCTTTAGCTAAAAACTCCGCTGTTTTGGTATTTAATTTTGGTTGTGGTAAGCCCATTAATGCATTTCCTAGAAATTTATAAACAGATCTGCAAGTAAAGAATATGCTTATAGTCCTTCTCAAAAACAAACTATAAGTATTACAAACCTTAGGTCTATACCTTCCAATTGGTTTGCTGGGGGAATATCCTCATTATTTGCAATGCCATTCATAACTAGAGCAGGTTCATACAAGCATGACTGGGGTAAATTCCATTTTTTGAATTGCTCTAACCAGGCTTCAATGTTCTTAAAACTTGGCGACTCACACTCTTCATGCACATTCATTACAGCCATTTGCATTCGTTGATTTAAATATTCTATAAGGAAAACGTTGATTAAAATGGTTGGCTTAGAATTGCAGCACTCTATTTTACCGAGTATTACGTCCCTATTAAATTTCGAAGCTGCTATCACATCATTTACACTATTTGAGCTGCAACTATTATTTTCCAAATGGTTAAGAATCTTCTTTTTCATGTACCCATATACTTGCTGTTTATCTGCGGACGCACGTTTCTTTGCTGATTTCTGTTCCTGCGACTGGGGTGCGAATAAACTACAATAGTTCAATGAATTAGACAACTTTGATAGAACTAAATTGTAGCGAGAATTAGCAACACGTACCCATCGTTTTGGTTTGCAGTTTGTACTTCTTCCATGGATTGCCCTAACACTGATTTGAGTGCATCAGCTAATTCTAGAGGTCTAGCCACTTGCTCAAGTCGGGAATTTCTGTAAACAAAAAACCTTATAATTATCTACCAACTAAATACACTGACAATTTCGGTAATGTTCATTACACGACTTGCTCCTCAGGTTTGCCTAAATTCTGCATTTTTCACCTATTTCCTATAGTTTCCAACCCTCTATAAGGTGTAAGCAAAATAAATTGTTGATTAAACAGCTGTATTTAGAATGAACTCTACGCTATAGTCAGCTGTTTAAGCGCAAATGCACCGAAATGAACACTGATGCTGCCATATTATGCGTTATTTGGAGTTTATAAGCAAATGCCAAAGATCGTACTGGTTCTTACGATATATAATTAGAGTAAATCATAGAGCGTAAATCTTAGATTAATTTATTTTATACTAGTGGTATTCATCTAAACCGATAGCTTTATCAAGCAGATATTCTTATAAACTTGAGCACTCTGTTACATGAACGCCCCATACACTCCTTTCGTTTACACTTGCGACGATAGTCGTGTTTTCTTTGGTTATCGTGGTCAGTATCAATAATTTTATACTACTAGCACGAGGATTAAAAATTTTTAGAAATGACCTCACTAAATGTGAAAAAATTATTTTAATTTGAATAAATATTTAACATAAAGGCAATTCATTTGAAGCAAGTTTAAAGAAACAATGGCAGAATGTCTGTTTGTGTATGACTTCATTTGTCAGTTTGAAATTTAATTAATTTTTTTAACTTATATATTTTATTGCGATCTGTTTTTTTTTTCAACATTAAGCAATATTTTAAACTTAAATACTAAATAAGAAAATAATCATGTATAGATTGCACCCAGTGGTGCAACCGTATTCTATTCGCACGTATTCAACGTTATTACAGATCTTATATTAGGTGTTTATAGTAAATTCTCCAGTAAATTGCAGCGAGAGCGTAATATAAAAATAGAGCGTAAAGTTAAGAAGAAGAGAAAACTATCAGAAAAAGTTAATGAACACAAAACTAGTACAAACTTGCAAGTGAGCAATTGTTGAACTGCTTTGACACATTAGGTTTGTATAGTAACAAATAGTCAGTACTAATTTGTACTGGAACCTTCAAATTTTTACTGGGAAAGTGTATGGTAACCTAAAAAATTTGCAAAAGAGCACTGAATCGAGAGCGTAACAATACGGGAGAGCTGCAAATTATTGCTAGTGAAATTTTTACTAACAAATTAGCTAGCAGAAGAAGAAGAAGAATAAATCTGTTAGACATTAAAAAGACTGCAACTCCGGTTGATGTGATAACTGCTACTGCACGTTTATTTGAATAAAATAGAAAGAAACTTTATTCTTAGTTCGGCTTTTATACAAAATTCCTTGATGGTAGAATACCACGGTGCAGCGAACAGAGGTGGCGCCGTCAGTGGTACCGCTACTTT